AGGGAGGGAGGGGAAACTTGGAACTAGAGAACTCATTCATACTTGAGATACTGCTTATCACCCTGTTTTGCATTTAGTTTCTTGCAGAAAATATACTAAGGAAAATGATCATCTCTACTATTTTATCCTATAAATTTGCACATTTTCTCTTAGTCTCTATAAGTATCACATTCAAAATCTAAAAAAAAAGTTGTATTTCTTTGAATCTTGCTTGATATTATTAAGATTCCACACTGGAGTTCACATTTGATTTTTTTCTTTCTGTCCTAATTTCTCTTTTCACTGACTTTTGAGAAATTTCTTTATCTCCTCTGCCAGTCCTATAGGAAAGAAATTATTTTTCCTTTATTTTCATAACCCTCAGCAAAGTGCCTTCCTAGAGATCTACTCCTAATAAATAGTTGTTGAATTAATGAATGACTACTGGCATGAATTAATGGAATTTCTTATGCCATGATAATAGATTTATAAAATGCTAATGATGAATTAAAATGCAATAGGAAATAACTCATTTCAAATAATAACCAAAAAAACAAGGCAGGGCAGATTTTGCATATTTTATTTTAGATTTAGCATTTTTCTTCTTTAATAACTAGTCTAAAGACTAATACATTGTGGTCTTTTGAATCAAGAAATCTGGCATTTCTTCATCATTCTGAAATAAATATTGTGTACAGATCTTAACTTAAAAGTTAACAAAAATATTAAATATTAATATTTGTTAAATATTCCTCTGTAAGTTAAACCCAAAGACACATTCATGTCTAAATGTATTTCATATTTATTTTTAACTCTTCAATTGATGCTATTTACATTTGACCTTAGAAGGCAACCTATGTCAGTAGAAGGTCAGGGATTAAGCTCAGCAGTATTAAAGTTTGCGAATGTCAGTGTCATGAAAAAGAGAAATCACTGTAAAATAAATGCTTGTTCTTTACTTGTGAGTGCTACGGAACAATCTCTACTTCGTTCTCAAGTTCAATCAAGGAGGGCTTCGCAGGAGGCGCACTCCTAGTGTATGGGTGCGGAGAGCCGGGTGGGGAGCGCTTCTGGAAATCAACCAATCCGTGGGTATCTGGAAAAGTGAAAAGTTCAGTCACTCCCAGGAAGCCTTCTTCTGCAGGCCCGTCATTGATGGCCCCACTGCTTCTCCCTCTCGCCGCCGCCTTCTTCTTCCTCTGGGAACGCTGATCCGTTCTGGCCTTTCAGATGTTTAACCCCTGGAATTATAAAAATTCATTTAAGTGAAATTTATCCTGACAGATTCACTGCTTGGCTGCTACAGATAAAGAAAACGAGTGGAGAGCTTTCGCTGGTGTGTATGTATTTCTCCAAGAATCTCAGCGATCTAATCCTATGCAGCCCCTTTAATTCACCAAGGAAAAAAAGCATCCCCAGTCAAACTTCTATGAGAGGCGGGCAGTCTTTGGCCATTTAATCTTCTTCATTAAGACCTGCGTCACAGCCTGCTAAAAGCCTGTCAACTAAAAAAACCTGCTCACAGGCTCCTATTGTAATTCTGATACATCATTTTAGTTCAAATATTTCTTTTGGCGTCCCTGGACTCTATTACAGGGAGAACCACTGAAACTCCTGGGAACAAAGGGGTTGCTGTTTGCCATTTCTGTAACTTATAAACAACAAAAGAATCATAATATTGTTACTGGGAATAGGAACATGCCCATATGATTATGAAACTTCTGTACTCGAAATTCTCCAGTAACTTCCCTCACCACCTACAGAGAGAGAAAACACTGGCGGACCTTTGCCTGCTCCCCAGGCTGGTGTGATCTGGCCTCTCCCTGCCTGTCCTCATTTCTCACCAGCGCTTCCTGCTTTCGCCTTTCACAGCAATTTGCCCTTTAACAGTACAACCTACTCTTCCACATTCCCCTGTCACCCCAGGTTCCACCAGGCCCCCCTGCTTTTCTTGTTCTGGTCTCTGACAAATAGCTCCTTCTATTCCCGCACTTGATAATCTCCCACTCATCCTTCTGGTCTCGGCTTGCCTCCTCTGTGAAGGCTCCTAATTCCCTGAGCAGAACCACCTAGATCTTTCTCTTATTTCTCCACTGCTCTTGGGTTACTTCCTCTTGGATCAATCACCCAGCAGAACTGTACTTGCTTACATACCTTTCTCACAGAGCAAACTTATTGATGTCAGGATTTGGTAGTTTTACTTTGGTGTCCCACACACAGTGCCTGGCAAACAGTAGGTGCTCAATAGTATTTATACTGCATAAATGGCTGGTGGGACTAATGAAGTAACAATTCGGTATATGTTTTTGGCCGTCGAGCAATAATGTATATTTGGGTTTTCTTTTTCAAAATTCAGATTTGGAATATAAATCAGAAGATAATTTCTACAACCATATTCAATCTACAAAATTATCTTTAATTTCACTTGTGCCTATTCTGTTAAAAGATCACACTGACACTTTGTGCATATGGGAAGTCTTATATATATTTTATATTTTTAGAAAGTCAGTTTATGAGATTTTTATAAGTATTACTGATAAAGAAAGTCACTGCTCATGCTTGCTATGAAACAAAGAAACTAAAAAAAAAAAAGTGTACTGCGATTAGTAAGCCGCGGAGTACTGTTTGGCAAAGAAAGGCATCCCTCAGCTTTGTGGATTATCTTGCAAAAATATTTGATCAGGTTGTAATAATATTTAAATACTTTAATTTGATCTGCAGACACAGTTCACTCACAATTCCTGTTGACCCAAGACTGTAGAGAGACTTTTGTTATTAACAAATGGAAACTTTTCATATTATTGCAAATTACATGGGTTAAAAAAAAGAAAAAGTCTAAATGCTAAGGAGAAAAGAGTTCAGAAGCACCCAATTAATCACTGCTATAGTCTTACATACCTCACTAACAACTTTATAAGGTAAATACCTGGATGGTGAAATTTAGACTCCAAGAAGATAAAGTTTGCTCACAGTTATAAGGACAGTATAATTCTAAGAGAAGGTCTGATCCAGCATCGTCCCTCGGTGTAGATTGACTGACTGACTAAGGCATAACATTCCACTGTCAGGAGACTCTAACTTATTTTCACCTTTAGCTTTTTGGATGCTGACTTAGATTTTTTCTAACACTATCTAGGATTTATTGTAGGTTTACAGTATCTATTAACCTGACACGGATGATCTCAGGATTCCTTCTGAGATATTAAAGCACAGTAACTGTTTAGCTGTCTGTGACTCTCTTTCCTGGGCTGAAATCGTCTGTGCCTCTCTGAGTTTGCAAAGGTTCTATTGCCTCCAGAGCTCATCCCTTTCATCCACAAGGTCACTAACTACAGAGTAATAAAGTTGTGTTCAAGACAATTTTCTTTACATCAGGGTTAATAACTTAATGCCAACATTAATTTATCTATATTAGGGGGTTAAACATTAAAAAAATCAGTAACCAAAATACCCAACTTATTAAACCACGAATCAACTGTTAAATCAACTTTCCATACTTGAGTATAGGTCTACGTGCTTACCCTGATCCACATTTAATTGATTTAATAGTATTAATGATTACAAAGTTATATAAGTAAGCTTTTTAAAAAGTAAAACCTCTCACTTGGGCACACCTTGGAAAGGGCCTTTCTTAGCCTTATTCGAGTGTGACATTAACTGTTTCCAGGTAAAAGGTTTTAATGAGGCAAGAGTTGGTGACATATTCCAGAGATGTTCTGTAGAACCTTTCTACAAAACCACAAAATGTTTGGCTCCCAAAGCAGTTTACACTAATGCCATCTTTCCATTAGATAATGGATGGCTGGTAAATTTGTGGTTTGAATCCCCCGCCCCCATTAGCAATATTCATTTGGTTGCAGGTATAACAATGCTGAGGTTAAAGCGTGAAGTCTGCGAGGACTAATCCTTTCTCCCGCTGCCCTCCTCCCCTCTCCAAACACCGCATACACGTTGTTTGTAAATTTTCTTTGAACCCTTCTTTGGTATTTGAATAACTCTGGAGGTGGAGGAGAGTAACCTGGTCTGGGGGTGCTGATGAAATGTTCAGATCCCCCTGGTCTGCCAAGTGCTAATGAGNCCCACGGGCTGGCTCTCGGGGGGCCAGGAGCCTCTGCAGCGGCATGGCCCCGGCCAGCTCTGCGCCCAGGCGGGGGACACAGGGCTCCCCAAAACACAACACAGGTTCTTTTCTCCGTAGCGAAATGAACACATGGCAAAGGGGACCATATAGAAGAGCAGGGTAGGCAGTGTGAATACAAGCAGGAATGAAAACAGAGTTTGAGGAAAAAAGTAGCCTCAGTGAAAGAAAAGGAAACGGAATGAGCACTGTCCCCACACAGAACCTCAGACCCAAGCTCCTCTCCGCGCTGCAGACCAGGAGGTGAAATGCGACCTGGATGAAGGTGGGCAGAGTGACTGAGGGAAGGGTCATGAATAGTGAATCCAGAGGGAGGCCTATACTTGGCAAGCCACGGGTCAATATGTTTACCAAAAAATCTGAAGGGGGAAAAAGGCAGGTTTATTACATTGTAGAAGACACAAAACTTGGAAGAAAAGGTGATATAATGAACGACAATACTAGTATTCCCAAGGGCTTCTAAGAGCTGGGTAGATGGCCTAGACAATTGTGGTAGAGGTCAACAGGGAGTTTTGTTTTTAGAAAGATTATTTTCAATCTAAAATATAGAGAATGGGGGTAACCTATATCGGTTATAGTTAGGGGTTTCAGGTGACCACAATTTCAAAATGACCCACTTGAGTCACCTGTTTCTAGGGACAGAGCTCTTGGTGGTGTTGGCGGCATTCCTAACAGCAGGGTCAGCAGTGTAAGAGAGGGAACCACTCTCTAACCATGCGTTAGTCTCAACTTTTCTGGATCACGCTGCCTAATTCTTGGCTCTGAGTTTCAAGAGTTTCATTGAAGAAAGTAATTAGGATTAAAATTAATCTTATGAAATCACTTTTCTAGAAGAATTATATATGGAACTGGAATGTTTAGCACAGAGAGAATTAACACAGGAAAGAGGCTGCCACTAAATTCCTCAAAGACTGGAGAAAGAAATACAATTTATTTATGTAGCTCCTGAGAGCAGAAATAGGGTCAATGGTTAACATTTAGGTGACGAGGGCTGATTACAGCCCAATATAAAGAAGAAAATTCCTAAACTCTTTATGTTCGCTCAGCAATAAACATGTGAGTGAGCTCTCCATCACTGTGTATGTTCAAGCCAAAGCTACATTTTGATCTGTGAGCCAAGTTATAGAAGGAATCCTGCATTGAGTAGCAGGGTAGACTAACAACTTCACTGACCCTGAGATGTTATTAATGAACAAGAGACAGCTTTCTTTCTTTTTTTAACTAAAATGTTTGTTCTGCTGTGAGTACTCTAAGTTACAAAAAGTTATTATAGCGTCAAAAGACATAAGTGGCTCAAATCTACACTTTAAAACTAATTCACATTGGGAGTTGCAAATGTAAATGGATTCATCTTTTTTTAACCACATACTTTAGGCTTTAGAAATCATCTGAAAGTCCTCTAATGAATCTGTGGGTGGATTATAGAGAACCTCTGACCCCTTTTGGAGTTCTATTTATAGTTGCATTTGTGCCTTTTTGGAAAAGAAGGTCCATAGTTTTTAAATTGTGCTTATGAATCCTAGTCCTTTAGCTTAAAGATGAAGGAACAATGTCAGATGGCAAAATGACTTGCTTAAATTCATAGAGCAATAATTGGCTCAGTTGGGACACAAACAAGGGTCTTTAATTCCTATTGGGAGCTGTTCATCTGAGTCACCAGGACTCCATCTTCCACTGTCATTGATCTTTTTAAAGGTGAAACCTGGAGGAAAATCTGGTGACTCAAGATCATGAGGCCCTTTTTATCATCAAATTCTTTCAAAGGACATTACATAGCTGATAGATTAGATGTAACTTTTCAGTCTTTGTTGTTGTCACTGTTTTTAATAGAATTTGGAATCAGGAAATATAGAATTTAACTTCCAGAAATGTTCCCAGCATAGAACCAAGTTACAAACAATGTTTAGGTTATTAGAAAAGAAGCAGCCTTTCTCTCTGCTGTGCTCAGACCTGGGACTAGACTCTGGGAAACACAGAAATTATATCATGATCTAGCCTGGAAGGTGAGACATAGTAGCCATCAAGCAATATGAGTTAATATTAAAAAAACAGGCTCCCCACCCCACCCTGCAAGGGTGATGGTGTAAGCATAAATGTAGTTAA